TGACGTGGCATCACTAGCAGAGGATCACTGTAGCTTAATTACCCGGGCGTCACAGTTCATCTGCGCGCGAGGCCTCTTTAGGCGCCACGTCGCCACGTCGTGCGCGCGGGCGGCCTCTTGCGTGGTCTCGAACGTGCCAAGGCCGAGGCGGACGTCGCTGGACCGGATCTCAGCGTAGAAGGCGCCGGAGGGGCGCTCGCAGACGCCGCGGTAGCCTGAAGATCCCCGGCGGCGCGGCGGCATGGTGGCGGGGCGAGGAAGCGACAAAGGAAGCGGGGAGAGCGCGCGTGGCAGTGTGGATAGCGGTGGGAGGCCGTCTGGCAAGCGCCGCAATTTATAGGCGCGCCAGAAGCGGTGTGCCAAATCTAGCGCGCGACCGCCCGCTTTCTCCCACGTGCGCTAGTTTCCCGCCTCCGCTGGAGCGCACGAAAACGTCCCCCACGCGCTAAAATGGCAATTTACCCCGCGCGCACATCTTTTGGTGCCGCTGTTGGATATACTCTAAGTCAGTACGTAGTACCGGCCATAGCTTCTGTGCAATAGTTTATGAGCACCACATCCAGTGCACCAGCACCATCCTCAAAGAAAGAGGCGTCGATATTGAGAAGTGCATGGATGAATCCGGATACATATAAACCCACTTTGAAAAACACATTTCTAAATACTAAAAAAGATCTGAAAAAAGTTACACGGTACGTCTTCATGTTCTATGTGCGTGCATAGAATTTTACAGAGAAATAACATTTTTTGTGGCATGTGGAAATAAGACAAAAAATTATGTCACAAAACACTACTTAGAAGCACTGAAATTTGTTTTTTTACGGTGACAAAACAAAAAGACATTTTTCACAAAACTTTGTGCCGCGTACACACATTTGCGAACATGTATGCATGATATTTTCTTTTGATTTTTTTAACATTTTAAAATGTGCTCAAAATGCATATTTTTGACCAATGGATGCAGATCCCAAAGGTGGCTTCTGCCAAGCACAATCTTTGCTAATTTCAGTAGGGTGAGGAGCATGGTTTGCTGCTATGGATTGTATGACAAACGCAATGTTGTGCTCCGGCTTGACATTCTCCCCTTTAGCTGCTTCCCGACATTCCCGCCAAATATATCAAGCTCCAACTGCAATAGTTTCTTGTAAACCCATGTGACCAAACACTGGTGATTTCCTTGGAGGACTACGAAGGATCTCCTCAAGTACTACTGATCCCGACTGATCAGAACATAAGCCTTCTTGATTATATCCTCAAGCCCCAAAGAAGCCCACACGTGTTTTGCTCTCTGACATGTACGTACTCCATATTAGATCCACACTTCTTTTGTTCTTTGACATGTACTACATATTAGATGTCTCATGTCCTCTGGACCGCACACAGGGTATTGGAGAGGAACTTTGATATGCCTATTAAGCACACCATCCATCTCATAATATAAGAGCATTTTTGACCATACAGAAGTATTTAAGATACACATTCCTAAGATACAGAAGTACTCCCTTCGTAAATTAATATAAGAGCATTTAGATCATTACAGAGGAAGTATTTAAGATACACATTCCTAGGATAATGGCTTTGCTCGGGTATGCAAGTTCCATAACCGTTTCCATACTGGATTTATTAAGGGAAACACTTCCCTACAGAAGTCTGGCCAGAAGCATTCGTCAGACCAGTCTGACACCATCGATTGGTTATTTATCTCACGGCTGAGAGATGCACTCAAATCATACGATAGAAGCCGATACTACCTCCTGAATTTTTGGCCCACCCCCATAATATCTCCTTGATTTAATTGCCTGAAACAACTCTCGACATCTCTCCTGTCGGTCCCGTCTCCCGTAGACGTCGCCTAGCTCGCCGTGTCCCGCGCCGCGTCTCTGCTTTCTCCCCCAGCACGAGTTCCTGATACACCCATCTACGACCTTCATTCCACCTCTCGTCGCTGCGTCATCTCGTCCGGCGGCCGCGCGGGAAATGACCCAACACCTGCTCATGTAAACTCCCTTGCCGCCGTGTACTCCACCAGGATCGGGTCTGCTCCACCTGTAGTTTTGGCTTTTGATCCGCCTTGCCGGAGGGCCGTCACGGTTTGGGAAAGAGGCCAGTGAGGATAGGCTCTCACGACACGCAGGGGGTGACTTACCAGGCGATGTTGTATGTCAGCATCATATCATATGCACAGGTAGGTGATGACGGTGAAGCACATGTGAGGTCAGATTGACGCATTTACTTGAATCTGGATTGCACGTATCCTTCATTCATCATGCAATTGAGGAACATAGTTTGTATTGTTCCTTTTTTCATTGGGAGATTTTCATTATTTTACGGAAAAACTAACGCCCACACGTGTGGGCGTTTGCACATCGCCCACACGCCTTTATCACCACTTATTTTGCCACGTATGAATAGATGACATCAGCGAAAATCTTTTTAGTTTTCAGCTTAAAATATTTTATCTCTTAATTAAAAAAGCGAATTAAAAATCTGTTTTCATCATTAAATCCGTCATAACGAGATCTTCAAAACTAGACCCCATGTTGATATGTTTCGACGAAATTTTTTTTTGCCCAGAAGCTGCCACGATGTTTGCACTGTAGTTGCCATAGTGTTTAAACTAAAGTTGTCATGTGGCAATTTTAGTTTGTAGATCATGGCAATTTTAGTATTTTGATGATGGCAATTCCACTACTTTGATCATAAAAATATATTTTTTGTATGAACCATGACAATTTTAAGTGCATATATCATGGCAATTTTAGTTTATGATGTTTGGCAAGTCTAGTTTCTTAATTCCTCGTTTATAATATGTCAAAAATTACTTTTAAATGTAAAAGAAAATAATTGAAACATATCATGGCAACTTCAGTGTAAACACCATGGTAATTTATGTGCAATAGACATGGCAACTTTTAACCCTAAAAAAATTCGTCGAAATATATTGATATGAGATCTAGTTTCGAAGATCTCGTCGCGAGGGATTTAATGGTGAAAACGGATCTTCAATCAGATTTTTCGTTTAAGAGAAAACATTTTAAAAACTAAAAATTCAAAAAGATTCTCGCATGCATGCATGCGATGACGTGACAATCTATTTGCATTAGGGACATGTGATGCGTCTTCCTTTCTGCCACACGTGTGGCAATTATCGACGTCCTTATTTTAAGCATTATAAAGTTCTTCACCCTCGCACTTGGATTTGTTCATCAAATTTTGTTACACCGTCGCATGATCATGTCTTGGATTGCAGGAAGCACAAAAAATGGCAGTAAGATGCAGCACATCTTTCCATAGTCCACGGTGCAAGAGACAAAGGTTTTCGCTTGCAGTTCGTCTCACTGCCGTGGATGGTGTCGTGATCCAAGATCACCATGAAAGCAAACTCTCCGCTTAACTGGGACAAATGTTTCACCGTTGTGTAAACATATCCCCATGCAGTTTAAAATATATATTTTTCCCTTTTGATGGAAACAGATATATGTTGTATGGAAGCAATTCTTTGATATATGAAAAAAATAGTATGTCATAATGATTTGGAAGCAAAGTGTATATCTTTGGAAGCAATTTGCCATTTCTTTTGATGCAAATACCAGACTCAATGGAAGCAAAGTCCTAATTATTTGATGGAAGCAATTTATTTGAGCTGTCAAAAATATCAAATTCTAAATAGATTGAAGCAATGACTGCTAACAATGGAAGCAATATTTTACGGACGACTGAAATACACAAATTCTAACTAGATCGAAGTGATTGCCGGTTGCTATGGAAACACTTTGTACAATCGATCGAAGCAAAAAATTCAACCAGCTGGAAGTAATCTCCCGTTGCCTCGGAAGCAAATTGTATTATTTTAAGAGCAGGTTTTAATGGAAACAAATTTTAATATTGTCGAGACATCTTTTATATGCTACACTCAAAATAATTTTCCAGTTGCTCGAAACTATTTTTGTTTGCGTACACGAGACACAAATACGATCTAACTAGATCCAAGCGTTGGTCAGTTGGCTGACCGAAGCAAACAAATCCTAAGCCGATGGAAGCAAAATTTTCGGCTAACTGAAGCAAACAAATCCTAAACCGATGGAGGCAATATCCATTACCAAACAAAATTTAACCCAATGTAACCAATGTATATTTTCCATGGAAACAATTTGATACGCTGGCCGAAATAAGGATTGGAAACAAATGTATGGAAGCAAATCTCATGCATGGAAAGAATGGCGCCTAATCAATTTGACGTTCCCTAGTTTATAGGAGTCGTTGTTAGGAAACAAATTGATCGCAATTAATGCGGAATCACGCATGCTGCATACAAACTACGCTATCACGCGTGGTGTTGTACTGCTGGATCCGATGATCACCGTGCTTCTCATCTACGGTCAGTGACTAGTCTGATACAACGCAAGGGATCCGTAGTCTGATCCCTAGCGTCTCCCATTTATTAACGAGCTTTCCGGCGCTTCCGTGGTCAGCCTAGGAACAAACTGATGCTCCCACTCGACATAATAAGCAGAACGGACCCACTCTTACGCCCCATTTATTTTACAGGTGTAAATTACCGGTCACCTCTTGGTTCCTGCCTGGAATGAAAACGACAGGAGGAGGTCCGTATCCTAAACCAGCCAGAAACGAGCTGAAACGCTAATCCAATCGGGGCCTAAGATTTTGCAGCACTCCAGTAAGATTTACTAGTTAAGAGCAAGATATGCCATGTTTGTGGCACTCCAGTAAGATTTAGTTAGTTAGGGCATGGGACACACAAAATGGAAATAAAAGCTGCCCACATCTGCTGTTACAAGGTCCTAATCAGCAAATATCCAGCAGAGATGTTCCACCGTACAAACAAGTGGATCTTATACTGTCGCCGACCGCTTGGTGCTGGTGCTGGAGCCTTGGGACTTCCATGTCGAAATTCCAGGTTGTTAGCTTCTGGACAGTCCAAGAGGTCACTCAGAGACGCCCCCTTGTCTTCCTTGCAGGTCTCGCTGACTTCTTCCCTATCACCCAAGGACACACGTGATTATTATGCTTACCGAGGGAAAACTATATACGTAGTACTGAGTGGCATGCAAATTTGGCAGGGGAGCTTCCAAACCATCCACAGGAGCGACGCCTGAAATCAACCCATTCTGCACAACAAACGGAATTCAATTAGTCCCCTCATGCCATTAGCAGATAGATCTAAGGGGAAAAAAGGACAAGTTATGCATCCATATCCTACTAAAGATTGAAAATTACATCATACGATAAGCAGCTTCACTGCCCTTCTACATGATAAGTTATGCATTGCTTTATCCAGATCAACTCGCCATTTCAGATTTGTGCCACCAATAATTTGCAGTGCGGAACACTATGAAGGGATGGTGAATGTTCAGATTATGCATGCATTACCCTAATACGTTTGATCAGTCTCTTCCGAGTCCTAGCAATATGATTATATATCGTGGACAGTTCCACCGGAGAGCTTATAGACTGACACTTTCGTTATATGGAAGCCTTTGCAGGAAACTCTTCTTGCATCATTCACTGTTCAGTTTTGGACTTCGGTGCAATGAACAAGACCAAACTAGGATAATTTAAGCACTAACAAATTAGCTAATCATGGGCACAAACACACAATCCTATAAGATATAGCATTGAAATATATTTCTTTACTAACGTTATCATAGACAATCCTACTGCTTCCTGGATCCAATAGGGGTACTACCACTCGACCTGAAAAAAAAAGAAGAATTCCCTTTATCCAAGGACAATTGGTAAATTATTCAAGTAGCAGAATCCAACCGAAGACATTGTACCTGATTTGGTTCTTCTCATTTTGAGACACTCAGGTGTGGAAATAGATAATGACTGGGCCCTAGAACGAGTAAGCCGAGATTTATGCCCCTAAAGTGTTTCAAAGGAACATTGCAATAAGTACAGATACAAATGGGTCAAAATCTTGGCTAGCACAGTTTTTGCCAGTTGAGTCAAGTAACAGAGAGTGGATTAAACATATGGGACGCCAAGACAGGCTATATATATGAGTAAATCTTAAGAATTAAGGAAGAAGGTGGCATCAGTCAATCTTGATCACAGTAAGCGGCATGGCATACTTTTCTGCTATTTCATATAAAGTGAGCACAAAAGATGACTGGGGTAACTACAATTGGTAGAATATTGGTCCGTCTGAACAAAAACTATGCTAAAATCATTACAAGTTTACTCCTGCGTGTTTTCGAAGATAAAAATAAAATCATTACTACTTTGTCCAATAGCCTCATAGCGAAGTGGTGTGATATCGGCTTATTCCTATTTTTTATACTAAAATCTGCTATAAAATTGGCAACTTTACATCAATAGTTTGTGCATTATACGGATGTTAAAGAATGTCCAAGATAATGAACCATCATTCAGTAACAGCTGGATCACATGGCAATTGCAGAAGCTATGGAAGCTAACACATTATAGATATCTTTAACCATCAGCATTTAACAAGTGTTATAAAATTTTATTACAATGTTCTAAATTGTTTAACAACAGAAAAAGGTATGGAGAAAATTTGCATACTTACATATGGAGCTGAAGTTCTGGTCATTGGCGATCTAGTAGGACGCTCCAACACTTGCTTTGCAGATCTTCGCTTCTCTGCTGAACCTACAGTCTGCTTTTCCACGTAAAAGGCTATCAAGTTCACTATGTAAAATGAAGAACACAACTAAGATCACTAGCTTAAATGTGCTAAATATGAACTTGGCATCATAAAAAAAAACTAAATACTGTATGATGCACCTTACCCTGGATGTTAAGGAATTTATTGGATCATATTTGGTTTTACACATCTTATATGTAAGGTACAGATCAATCTATGAAATTCCTTAGTAAGGATAATTAATTACGAATTACTAAGAAAAAAATATGTACTAGCTACATAACATATTTGGACATACAGTAAACAAAATCTGAAGCCACAACATTGAACCTAAAGATGCTCGAATCTGTTTCATCCCAGTAATCAGGTAATGCTACAGAAATAGTGTCATTGCAAATAATTAATCATGAAATGTCACAAAGGGCACAGATTGGAAACATGCTATCATAAGTTTTCTGTGGACTGCAACTATATTAATTGGGTTAGATTTACTAAAGATGCTATATAACATTGACGGTGTATCTAAATGACTTCAGTTTAAGATGCAGGCATGTAGAATTGAGTCGTTACAATTTCACTCTTGTGACAATTATATGCCCCCGTGATTTTTGTAACACAGCTATGCTTCTCTTGAGTACAAGAATCTCCATTCAGAGCACCCAGCAGTACGTGATAAAGCTAAATCGGGAATGTCCTAATTGGAGGAGACAATAACAATAAAAGGAAAACTAACAGCGGTGGTAGTTGCATATTAACTATTTTAGCAAATAAACTGTTAGAAATACTATAGTAACACAAAACGAAGTTCAAAGACTGATTACTCGATCTAAACTTTTAGCTGTGGGATTTATAACTCACTTTTTCCTGAGATTGCACATCTGAGTGAATTGAAGATGGTGTATCTTCATTTGATACTGCCTTCTGAGTCAATGTGATGTGCTCAGTTGTTTCCAAGCAGTGTTGGTTCTTCAATGAGGCCACTGGAGTACTTTCATAACCTAAATTAAATAATAGTCACTCTCTTAGAAACATCAAGATAAAATGAAATATCCGCAGGAGAAAACTTAACCAGTGTCTTAACAATTTGCTCCTGCACATACTTGAGGGTTCAACACTTTGAGAAGCACCAGGAATCTCTGAGCAGCAATTAGCACTTTCAGGCGGTACTATGGCTAAATGATATTTAGCCAGCAGTTCTACTGAGTTTTCAGCACTGGGGGCATTTCCACCTTCCGAGTCATTGGGCATATTATCAGGGGACATATGATCAGGAGACATGGTGGCATTTTTAGCACTGGTGACATTTCCACCTTCCGAGTCATTGGGCATATTATCAGGGGACATGGTGGTATTTTCAGCACTGGTGGCATTTCCACCTTCCGAGTCATTGGGCATATGATCAGGGAACATAGTGCAAGTCCAATCGGAGTTGAAAAGATGGCTACCAGCATCGTCTTCCCTTGCATCTGGATGCATAGTGTCATTCTGATTTCCTGCCTCTTTGCAAGTTTCATCACCAGTATATGTTTCTGCAGAAGCAAGAGATACATTACACTCAATGTCCACATGATCTCTTTCTTGTGAAATGCTGCTCGCAGTCAAGCCTATTTCCACATTAGCTACAGTTGCGGGTCTGGCATCATCTGAAGCAGCAGAATTTTCCTTGGTTGAAGCATCATTTCCACAGTTGTATTCCTGGAATCTTGAACTCTCTGTGAATGCATCGAGATGGTCGATTGGGAAATTTTTAGCATTATTAAGAAGGTCCTCGATGAACAAGGGTCCAAACTTTTGAATAAAATTGCCTAGCTGGAATTTCTCCAGGTAAAACTGAGCTGAACCCTCTCGTGGATCAATAAAACAGTTTGGGTAAGACCCCATGTGTGAATCCCAAGTCTCCCACCAGGACGGAAATCCAATCATGAATTGTTCGCATATCTGCACGCATGGTTTTTTTTACCAGAGCAGTAGATTAGAATCATGACTAAATGGTCTTTCTGCACATGAATAAGCTTTTTGCTTGAATCTGGGCTGACTTTCCATCATCGTTTATGAACAGAATAGATAAAAGAAGAAACGCAGGAGAGAACGTGCATACCTGCACAGAAAATCCATTTTCACGCATTCGCAATAAGTTAATTGAACCATGAAGGAGCACCACAACCCCACCTTCATCCTGGAGCGTGAGAGGCTCATAACGATGTGCTATGGGTGCAGAAGTGAATGCGTCATTCCTGTCAGAAGCAAGGTCAGTCAGAGTGGGTTCTACTGGCTGGAATCGTAGAATCAGTCCACCAAATTTGGATCGCAAAGTCGTAGAAAGAAAGAACGCATACCTTTCAGTGAAGCCGGAAACCGCGAGCTTCCGCTCCTCCCCTTCCACCATCACCGGCCACCATTCCCACAGCGTGACCTAACCAAGCACCAAATCGAATCAAACTACCACCCGTCTAGGAAGAAAAAAGGAAGAAGATGTGGAAAGGAAAGGGGGAGGGAGGGAGTACGCATGGGTGCTCGACGGGGGATGAGGAGGCGGCGGCGGCGGCGGCGGCCGCCGCCGCCGCCGCAGCAGCAGCAGCGCCAAGGCGGGTGCGCAACGGGGCAGGGGAGAAGGGAGGGCTCAGAGCAGCGGCTGGGGTTGGCGACGGCGGCGCCGCGCCCCGGCGAGATCTTGCCCTCGGCGGAGGGCTGGGGGTCTTTTTTGCCATGTCCGGAGCGGAGTGAGAGTCACACGAAGGAACGAAGGGCGGTGTTGGGGGGAAACGGCGAGACGAGATAGAGAGTACTCATACTAGAGAGACGGGACTGGGCCTTCATCAATTGACACCGAGAAGATGCGCAGGCAGGCTCAATGAAGCATATGGAGTGTGGATATTTTCCCCTGAAAAAGAGTGTGGATATTTTTTCTTTTCTTTTTTTTTTACGAATGTTCTTCATCTTTTTCTTTTCTTCGGTTGGACTAATTTACCTTTTTTTTCTTTTCTTCAATTGTCTTTTCACGGTGTATACAATTACACTTGCAAGTCCATCCAGTCGAGCGTAACTTCAGTTGCATGCCCACTGGCTTATGCTAGAATTGTGTCGAATATTTTGTACAATATATGTTATAGCAACTTCAACGCACCGACCCAAACGGATGGTGTTTTTGTCCGCTTTTGACCGTTTGGGTTGGCCGTCCGCTCGGCGTCCGCGAGTCGGCAGTGCGCCTAACGGCTGCGACCCATTTCATGTCCGCACGCAAATTTTAAAAAAAGACCAGCAGCCATAGATCATGCAAGCGGTCATGTCGTCACTCGAAGTTCACGCCAGCACCATGCCAGCGCCGGCATACAATGTCAGCTTCAGAAAAACACCACACCGTTCATGTTGGCGCACTTGACAGCGACAGGCACACATGCCAGCACACAAAAAGGGGCGGGAGTTCGACCACGTCATCGAGGTCGTGGTCATGCCAGCAGACTTGCTAGCATACAAAAAAGGATGACGCTCGCCGCCATAGATCACTCGTCATCGAACTTGAGCATGTCGGTCTGCATCTTCTCGAGCCATGGCCTCTTCCTTGGCGACACGGTGTTGAGATCCACCTTCATGATCTCCATCCCCGCCATCATGCTAGCGAGCGCCACTTCTTTCGCTTTGGTCTTGGCATTGTCGGCCTCAATCTCGAGCATCTTGGCTTGCTTCTCGGCCTCCATCTCAAGCATCCTCGTTGGCTTCTCCGCCTCCATCTCAAGCCTCCTTCTTTGGATCTCCATGAAAGCATTCATTTGGTCTTCCTTGTCTTGTCGGCGCTTCTCCTCCGTTGAGTCCTTCTTGGTCATCACGCCCTCCATGGTTGCGATCAAGGCGTCCGACGCTGCATCACGCTTGTCCCCTTTCTTGGAGTTGGTCTTCCCCCGTGGTCGTGGCTTCTCGCCCTCCCTAACCTCCTCCACAGTTTTCTTTCCCCCACGCGACATGAGGGCGGCATATTGCGTCTTGAACTTCTCCTCGTCTATGATGACCCTCCAACAATGGAGAGGTTGAAGGACTTGCCATCGTCTTGGACCTTGAATGCCTCCAAAGCTTGGAATACCTAGAAATGAATTGCAAGCATATTGGCAAATGGATATGGAAATGGACATGCAAGCATAAACGGAATGACACAAAAGAGGGGCGCTTGCAAGCATACCATGTCTTGCATGCCGATGCCGCTCACGGGGCGTGCCTTGATCCTCTCAAGAGTGGCACAAAACTTGTTGCACTCTTGTTGGATCACCTTCCATCGCTTCATAATGAACACCCACCCGCGCGTGCTTTGCATTTGGTACGACGGAAACTTCTTGCGTTCATGGAACTCATGATGGACACGAGTCCAAAAGGTTGATGCCTTTTGTTCGGCACCGGTCTTCAGGTCTTGCCCAATGTGTTGGGAACATAGCATCCAATTTCAAAATAAATCTACGCTCACGCAAGATCTATCTAGGAGATGCATAGCAATGAGAGGGGAAGAGTGTGTCCGCGTACCCTCGTAGACCGAAAGTGGAAGCGTTTGACAACGCGGTTGATGTAGTTGAACTTCTTCTAGCTCCGACCGATCAAGTACTGAACGTACGACACCTCCGAGTTCTGCACACGTTCAGCGCAATGGCGTCCCTGGTCTTCTTGATCCAGCAAGGTGTCGAGGAAGTAGATGAGTTTCGTTAGCACGACGACATGGTGACGATGATGGTGAAGGGATTCACGCAGGGCTTCTTCTAAGCAACGCAAAACTATGACCGGGGGTGTAAACTGTGGAGGGGGCGCCGCACACGGCTAACGATTATTGTTGTGTGTTCTAGGCGCCCCCTCCCCACATATATATAGGTGGGAGGGGGAGGGGAGCAGCCTTGGAGCACCCCAAGTAGGAGGAATCCTACTTGGGGTCCTCTCCCAATTCGGCCTCCCCCCTTCCTTATTTCCGGAGGGGGGGAATGGAAGAGGGAAGGGAGGAAGGAAAGGGGCAGCCGAACCCCCTTTTCCTTCTCCAATTCGGCCTCCTGCCTAAAGGGGGGGCGCCACCCCTTCTGGGCTGGTGTGCTCCCCTATTATGGCCCATATGGCCCATATTTTTCCCTGGGGGTTCCGGTAATCCCCCCGGTACTCCGATAAATACCCATACTACTCGGAACACTTCTGATGTCCGAATACTATCATCCTATATAGCAATCTTTACCTATCGACCATTTCGAGACTCTTCGTCATGTCCGTGATCTCATCCGGGACTCCGAACAATATTCGGTCACCAAATCACATAACTCATATAATACTAAATCGTCATCGAACGTTAAGCATGCGGACCCTACGGGTTCGAGAACTATGTAGACATGACCGAGACACATCTCCGGTCAATAACCAATAGCGGAACCTAGATGCTCATATTGGCTCCTACTTATTCTACGAATATCTTTATCGGTCGAACCATTATGACACCATAAGTTATTCCCTTTGTCCATCGGTATGTTACTTGCCCAAGATTCGATCATCGGTATCTACATACCTAGTTCAATCTCATTACCGACAAGTCTCTTTACTCGTTCCATAATACATCATCCTGCAACTAACTCATTAGTCACTTTGCTTGTAAGGCTTCTTATGATGTGCATTACCGAGAGGGCCCAGAGATACCTATTCGATACCCAGAGTGACAAATCCTAATCTCGATCTATGCAACCCAAGAAACACCTTCGGAGATACATGTAGAGCATCTTTGTAATCACCCAGCTATGTTGTAATGTTTGATAGCACACAAGGTATTCCTCCGGTATCCGAGAGTTGCATAATCTCATAGTCGAAGGAATATGTATTTGACAAGCAATAAAACTGAATGATCAATATGCTAAGCTAACGGGTGGGTCTTGTCCATCACATCATTCTTCTAATGACGTGATCCCATTATCAAATGACAACTCATGTCCATGGTTAGGAAATCTTAACCATCTTTGATCAACGAGCTAGTCAAGTAGACGCTCACTAGGGACACAGTGTTTGTCTATGTATTCACACATGTATTTAGGTTTCCGATCAATACAATTCTAGCATGAATAATAAACATTTATCATGAATAAGGAAATATAAAGAACAACTTTATTATTGCCTCTAGGGCATATTTACCATGCCGACGGTGATCACATCGACCTTGGAACCATTCCCGACACGCATCGTCACCTCGTCCTTAGCCAATCATCGTTTAATCCGTAGCCCCTATTTCGAGTTACAAATATGAGCAACCAAACCAGTATCAAATACCCAGGCGCTACTACGAGCATTAGTAAGGTACACATCAATAACATGTATATCAAATATACCTTTGTTCACTTTTCCATCCTTCTTATCCGCCAAATACTTGGGGCAGTTCCGCTTCTAGTGACCAGTCCCTTTGCAAAAGAAGCACTCAGTTTTAGGCTTGGGCCCAGATTTGGGCTTCTTCTCCCGGGAGTGGCAACTTGCTTGCCATTCTTCTTGAAGTTCCCCTTCTTTCTCTTGCCCTTTTTCTTGAAACTAGTGGTCTTGTTAACCATCAACACTTGATGCTCCTTCTTGATTTCTACCTCCGCAGCTTTGAGCATAGCGAAGAGCTCGGGAATTGTCTTATCCACCCCTTGCATATTATAGTTCATCATGAAGCCTTTTTAGTTTGGTGGTAGTGATTGAAGAACTCTGTCAATAACACTATCATTTGGAAGATTAACTCCCAGCTGAGTCAAGTGATTATGATACCTAGACATTTTGAGTAACTGACAGAACTGTTCTCCTCCATCTTGCAGCTATAGAACTTGTTGGAGATTTCATATCTCTCAACTCGGGAATTTGCTTGAAATATTAACTTCAACTCCTGGAACATCTCATATGGTCCATGACGTTCAAAACGTCTTTGAAGTACGGATTCTAAGTCGTAAAGCATGGCACACTGAACTATCGAGTAGTCATCAACACGTGACTGCATGTGTTCACAACATCCGTAGTTGCTGGAGGGGGTGGCACACCTAGCAGTGCGTCAAGGACATAATTTTTCTGTGTAGCAATGAGGATAATCCTCAAGTTACACACCCAGCCTGTGTAGTTGCTACCACCATCTTTCAACTTAGCTTTCTCTAGGAACGCATTAAAATTCGAGGGAACGGTAGCATTGGCCATTGATCTACAACATAGATATGCAAAAACTATCAGGACTAAGTTCATGATAAATTAAGTTCAATTAATCATATTACTTAAGAACCCCACTTAGATAGACATCCCTCAAGTCATCTAAATGATACGTGATCCAAATCAACTAAACCATGTCCGATCATCATGTGAGATGGAGTAGTCATCAATGGTGAACATCTCTATGTTGATCATATCTACTATATGATTCACGTTCGACCTTTCGGTGTCCAGTGTTCCAAGGCCATTTCTGTACATGCCAGGCTCGTCAAGTTTAACCCGAGTATTCCGCATGTGCAAAATTGTCTTGCACTCGTTGTATATGAATGTAGAGTCTATCACACCCGATCATCACGTGGTATCTCAACACGATGAACTGTCACAACGGTGCATACTCGGGGAGAACACTTATACCTTGAAATGTTATTTAAGGGATCATCTTATAATGCTACCGCCGTACTAAGCAAAATAAGATGCATAAAAGATAAACATCATATGCAATCAAAATATGTGAAATGATATGGCCATCATCATCTTGTGCTTT